TGATGATGATGATGAAAGTCTCTGGTTGTATCAAAGGGTCTTGCATGGAAAAATAGAGAATGAGGTTGAGCCAAGGATGACTTGCCGATCTTATTACCAATGAATCTTAACTGATTTTGGTGTTCGGCAAGTTGACCTTGGCTCTGTTTCCTTCTCTCTTTTTTTATGTCAGTCTCAAGATATTATATATTTCATCATCATCTTTCTTGATGGCTAGGGAAGGACAACTTTTTCTAGACCATTCACCTCACGAGATTACTTCTTAATAATCATTACTTGATCTTCTTCTTTCTCCTTTATAATCCATACCAAAAATATCTATCAATAAGATCATTCTTTCACCTTCTTGATCCCATCTTGTTCATGTCTGAAAGAATCAAAGACACTGACTAAAAATAAAAACTCATGCTTAACATAACCTTAACAACTACATGATAGGATCGAGTGCCTGCTCATCAAAGACAATAGGCCTCTCTCTTTTTTCTTAGTTTCATGCTTTAGCGAACTTGGGTTTTGAAGAAAAGATTCGGTTAAGAGTTGCCGCCAAACGAATCCCGCCTTGTGCAAGTCTCTTCTCTACAATGGGTAACCGAGAGAGGAAATAGTCATCTGCAAAACAAAACGTGAGAGAAATCACAATATCAAGTCATTATTGCATATTGGAAAAAACTAAGAAGATCTTGGTTCATATTGGATACGAAGTATATACCTCCTAATTGTAAGCATATTTGCAAGCAAGATCTATGTTTATTGGTATCTCGTGATGTGATCCATCAACAAACAGAATAAAAGATAAACTTTATCGATGTAATTAGCTTACATGTTTATCCTCTTTAGGGCAAGTCCAACCGAACCCTATATCACTATAATTGGTGTGATATTCACTCCAACAGGACGGCATATTCTATAGCAAAAACAAATTTCTAGTATTTTGTCAACAGTGTCACACCAAAAATTTTTTTATTTTAATTGTACTTTTAAGTTAGTATAATTAAATTATAGTTTATTAATTAAAAATTATATATACAATAATAATTTTTTATTTACTATTTTATTTGTATTTTCTATTTTAATTATATAATAATATTTGTAATTGTACTTTTAATTTCATTAAATATCTAGATTACTACGTAAATTT